CAGTAGCTAATCAAACTTATCTATTTGCCCTTAATTAGAACACTTACACTCTATAGTGTTTTGCTCAGGTATTCTCGGAACATTAATCCTTTCTAAATGGTGTTATTAGTTCACATCTTTACTGGGCAATGAGTTCCTGTTGCAGGTCGATGGATAAACTGAAAACCCCACTGTACTACTCTTCATAATTAATACTAGCAGGTCTGAAATGAACTAATGACTTGCCTGCAAAGGCTAATGACTAACATATTTAAAGAAAAGAGGAAAACTCTGACCCACAGGTCAGTGTATGATACCATCAATGAGCATGATGAGTGTGTATATGGGGATAAGGGTAAAATGACCCCTCTTCTGAATTAAAAATAGCAAAGTTCAAGAAGGGTAGGTGGAAGAAAGAGAGAAGCACCCTATTAGCCTCCTTTGTGTATTACACACAATACAAAATTTGTTTATGACCTGATGGGTTTATTCATATATTCATCAACACAATTTTGTTCTCTTTGCTAATATTGTACCTCCCATATACTCAGCTAATATATTTAGAAAATTAAGACCTAAAACAAAGCACATTGAAATAAACTCACAGTACAGTTTAGTAAATAAGTAGTTGCACATAAATAATTTAATTACTGACTCAGTACAGGTTCTCAATCAGTAATCTATTTATTTTGTTAAAGAATTATTTATTTTAATATTATTTTTTAAAACTTGCTATAGGGAATGTGTGCTCACGAGAGAGAGAGAGAGAGAGAGAGAGAGAGAGAGAGAGAAAGCAGGCTGCCAGAGCCAGGAAATGAACTGTAATGGCCCAAGTGGCAGTCCAGAGCTTCAACCACCATTCCAATTGCTGGTCCTTTATTCTTTCTTGAAAAAAATTATTAATTAATCAATTTAAAAAAGAATTATTTTACTTAACTTTATTTATTTGTTATAATTTGACCAGAGAGGAGCAGAGAGAGAGAGAGAACACAAGTGAGTAAGAGAGGGTAAGTGAGAAAGCAAGCCTCCAGGTCCGGGACTCAAACTGTAGTTGGCCACATGGGAGTCCAGCACCCTTAACCACCGTGCCACTTGCCTTGCCCCCCAAATTATTTATTTTAACTTTATTTATTACTATTTTTTAATCTGACCAGAGACAGAGAGAGAAAGAGACAAAGAGAAAGAGAAAGTGAGAAAGCAAGAGGTCTGGGACTCAAACTGTGGTCAGCCCTGTGGGAATCCAGCGCCTTAACTACCATAACACCTGCTATTCCCTCAATCTGTTTCTAAGAAATACAGATAAGAAAAGGCAATGCCAAACAGGTTATATGAAAAATATAGAATCTAATAAATAAAAAGTTGTATTAAATTTTTTAGGGGGGGGCAGCAACTGGCATAAGGTTAAGATACTAGATCTCACATGGCTAATTACGCAGTTTGAGTCCCTGCTGGATTAAAAAAAAAAAAAAGGCACACCTGACAAATATATGTGCTTGTCCCAAATCCTGAGATGAGAATGGAGATAGGATTGTGGTGTAGCCACCTCCCCTGGAGGATGATTTCTAAACTCCCAACCCACCCCCCAGAAGTGCACAGATGTTTAGCAAAAATAAATAAAATAAAATAAATAAATAAAAGCCAGCAGGTGGCACGATGGTTAAGGTTCTGAACTCCCACATGACTGCCAGGTTCAAGTCCCAGACCTGATGGTTTGCTTTCTCACTTTCCCTCTCTCTGTTGCTCTCTGGTGAACAAATATGCTCTATAGCCAACTTAAGTCAAAATAATGACAATAATAATAATAATAGGGGACAGCAGAAGGTGGAGCAGTTACCTTGCTGGACTCCCACATGAATGGTTTGAAACTCACTGCAGGTGTGTGTGCGTGCATGCCCAAAACCCTGAAAAAAGAAAGAAGGACTGCAGGGTGGCTATTCCCCTGGGGGACGAATTCTTGCTTTCCATCTCTGTCTCTGACTTTCTGGTGAACATACAAGTCCTGTAGCAAAAATCTTTTAAAAAAAATATTAACAGGGGCCAGCGGATGGTGTAGCGGTCACTGAACTCTCACATGGGTAACTAACGGTTCAAGTCCTGAACTTGGTGGCTTGAAACTCATACTGGGCATCTGTGCGTGGAGGACAAGGGATTGTGGTATGGCCATCTCCACTGGGGGAATGACTTCTCACTTACCCTCTTTCTTCTCTGACTTGTGTACACACCCTAAGGCAAAAACCTTGGTGGGGGAGGTGGGGAGAAAGAGAGAGAGAGAGAAAATGAAACAAATGATTCTTAAAATTTTTTTTAGAAGAACAAAAGTGGGACCAGCAGGTGGCGTGGTGGTTAAGGTGCTGGACACTTCCACATAGCCGACCAGGATTCAAGCCCTGAATCTGGTGGCTTGATTTCTCACTTCCCTCTCTCACTCTCACCCTCTGTCTCTCTCTGATCAAATTAAAAAATAAATGAATGAATAAATAAAAAATAAAATAAATAATTATAAAAGAAAGAACAAAAGTAAGTTTCAATAACAAAATGGGACTTTAAAATTCTCATTTCATTCTGTTAATCAAAATTTAAAATTATTTAAATGAGAAATTTTCAAACTGAGGCCAACATAGCTAGCTATGTTCCATCTGCCTTCTTTTTATTCTTTTAAAAGAATTATCTCATTTAACTTTATTTCAATTATTTATTTTAATTTGACCAGAGCAGAGAGGGACAGAGTGAGAAAGAGGGGGAAAGTGAGAAATAAGCTGCCAAGTATGGGACTTGAACTACAGTCGGCCATGTGAGAGTCCAACACCCTTAACCACAACGCCACCTGCTGGCCTATCTGTCTTCTTAAACTGGTATTTCAAGTGTAAGAAATGAAACAGATTAGTATACCTCTAATTAATCAATCTGTCAATACATATCTGAAAGTCAACTCAGAGAATTCAAATAGCACTGTTAATATAAGATACTGCCTATGTATCTACTTTCGAAAAGATTACAAACTAACTAGATACATCACATACTAGAAAACAGAATTGTTATAACATTCTCAAAAAAAAAAAAAAAAAAAAGGGAAATCAAAGATTAGTAAATGTCAGAATGTGAGAAAATCCCTGCTTTGGAGGTAAAATTTTTGTTGTGCAGAACCTGACTGCTAGAAAAGATCTGCCTAAAAGCTAAAAGATGTATGATACATGTAGATAGTGGCTGATTAATGGAGAAAGAAGAAACAGGCCAGAAAATAGAGGAAGCTAAAAATGGACATGTAGGATAAGCCCATATCACCTATTCCCTTGAGGAATAAGCAGAAGAGTTCAAACTTTGTATGGAAACCCAAACTGCATCACAATAGGCTTTAGATTTCTGATGAAATTTTAACAAGTTTTCAGTCAAAAAATAGTAAAGAAACCTAAGAAAGAAAAAAAACAAGTTCATTCATTATTCCGCCATACCAATAAAACAGTAATTTCTTTCTCTGAATTTCTATTCTCCATGAGCTATTTAAAAGTCTATGAGTGAATCATGGAAATCATGTAATCAGGCAGTAAACAGACATATAAAATATTCAATACCAAAGATAAAATGTCATTTAGAGACTTTGCAGTATGGTAGAAGAATCACACCATACACAGAAGAGCAAAGTTAAGGGGACAGCAGGTGGCGTGGTGGTTAAGGTGCTGGACTCCCACATGGTCAATCATGGTTCAAGTCCTGGACCTGAAGGCTTGCTTTCTCACTTTCTTTCTCTCTTTCTAGTTGAATTAGAAAATTTGGGGCCAGCAGGTGGCGTGGTGGTTGAGGGCACTGGACTCCCACATGGCCAACCACGGTTCGAGTACTGGGCCTGGAGGCTTGCTTTCTCTCTCTCTCACTCTGTCCCTACTTGGTCAAATTAAAATAAATAAAGTTAAATAAAATAATTCTTTAAAAAAAAAAAAAAGAAAAGAAAATTTTAAAAGTAGACCCAGAAGAAGAGTTGGTGTGTTTAGCTGTATAAACATGAAGTGTGAGATGACAATAGAAAGCTGTAGTAAAGATGTTATGTCTAACAGTTGGAAATCAAGAACTAGAGCAGTAAATCTGTTCACGTAAGTAAACTTTATTATGCATTTAATAAGCAAAGTTACAGAAGTAAAACTACTCTTAAAGTTAATTCAATGACTTTTAAAACTGAATACAAGGGGCTGGTAGGTCACGTGGTGGTTAAGGTGCTGGATTCCCACATTGGCTGACAATGGTTCAAGTCCCAGACCTGGCGGCTTGCTTTCTCATTCTCTTTGTCCTATGTGGTCAAATTAAAAAAATTAATGATAACAACAAATAAAAAAATAAATTAAAAATTCTAAAAAAACCCCCTCTGACTTATGGACAGTTTTAAACAACCTACTTACAATTCCCTTTAGACAAACTTATAATCACCTACTTTTTACAAGTGATTATGGTCCTGAAAAATACTGCGAAATACAATTTGCTTGTCCATTTAGTCATAAATAGGGCCATTTATTCTTGAATAAACAATCAATTTATGTTCGGGTTCTAAAAAAGTTAAATAGGTTTATTTTGTGAAAGTTTGAAGTTTTGCACTTTTCTCGCATATAATAATAATGCAAGTTACTAATTTTCATTAGTGTCTAAACTTCAAAGAACATACAGAACTAGTCAACTGTGTTTATGTTACATTCACTATATTATCTTGTAATCTCTATAAGATTTGTATTATGGTATTTTAATTTGCAGTTAGAATATTTCTTACCATTTTGTGGTTGTTTTCTGATTCTGGGATTCTGATTGCCTTTTACTATGTTTACCCTCTGTTTTTGTGGAGATTTCTTCACAGGTTGCTTAGCCCTTGGAACAGTTTTGACTGGAGATTTCTCTTGTTTCCTTGCCCTCTTAGCATTTGTTGCCACTGGAACAGCTTTAGAAATAGGAGCGTCCTGGTTTTTCCTAGCCAATTTGGCTTTCTGTACAAACTGTGCAGTCAGCACTTCCGCACCTTATGTAAAAAAGACACCATTTTTTTAAGGGGTAAGGGCCAAGATGTTTATCAGCATAGTGTTTCTCTCTACTTGTTGAGTGCTTTTTTTGGGGGGGTCGGGGGGTAGGTGGGGGTGAGGGTTGGGTTAGTAACGGGGAATATAAAACTATAAAGTTTTAGTATTTCATTAAAAGCTTTTTCTAAAAAAATAATGCAAGAGTTAAAAGTTCTCATGTAAACATAAAAGTATGAACTTTTAAAGAATAAGTCTATATCCTTACTAAGTGAAGAAGAAAAAGACCAAAGTAGTAACTTAACAAAAATAAGACATGGGGACCAGCAGATGGTGTAATGGTTACGTTGCTGGACTCCCATGTAGCCGGCTGTGGTTCGAGTCCTGAACCTGGTGGGTTTAAATTCGTGTTGGGCGCACATGCGTGTATGCCCCAAATCCTGAGAGGAAAGAGGAGAAGGGGTTGTGGGGTGGTCATCCCCACTGGGGGGTGATTTCTCGCTTTCTATCTCTTTCTTTCTGTCTCTCTGGTGAGCGCTCACGTCTTAGAGCAAAAATCTCTCAAGAAAAAAAAGAAAGACTCAAATAAAAAACTCCCTAACTTTTCTCGATTGATGTGGCAAGTAAGACTGAACTTACTAGTTCTGGTTCATAGCTACAAGAAATGGATAACTGAATTAAAAGCAACATAGCTTCCATAAAGTGATGTCAGTAAAACTAACAACACTTTAAGAGAAGACTGTATATTTATAAAGAGCCATATGTTGACAATATACTTTATCTTACTGCCTATAAACATCTAAGTCTTAAAATGAAAAATACTCTTAAAGGCACACAGGAAGACTGAGAAGATACATCAGGTTTTATTTTCTACTATCTAAATAAAAAAATCACCTCTCAGCCCAGCAAAGCTGGTACAGGTAGTAGGGCACCAATGCATAATGTTGGAGCCACATGGAAGGCTTGGGACTTGGATTCCAACAAGCTGGATATGCCCATGATAAAGGTTCGTGGGAAGGCTAGAGGGGCAATCAGGGCATGGAGAGGCCCTGTTGGGGAGGGTATGTATTTATGTGTGTTATCTTTCTCTTTCAAAAGCAACTTAAAAATACATATTTTTAAATAATTTGTTATAAAGTGTTTTGCTTTTCATATAGAAGAAAATAGCAGCTAAAGGTAGAGGTAGGTGAGGAGAAAAAAATACTACCAGCTCATATTACATGATAGAAAAGTACTTTAATCTTTTTGTTGTGGTTCTTAAGGATTTTGCTATAGAGTGCATGCACTCCTTAGAGAGAAACAGATAAACAATGAGAGGGAAATTGAGAAACCCCTCTAGGGGGGAATAGCCATGCTGCAATCCCTTCTTCTCCATTCTCCTCCTGAGATTTTGGGTACAGACACATAAGAAGAGCCTGGTGAAATTTTTCCAACAGCCAGGTCCAGAACTTGAACTGTTGAAGTCCATTATCATAATCACTATGCCACTTGCTGGCCCCAGTATTTTAATATTTTCAGAGTTAAAAAAAAAAGAAAAGAAAACGATCTTTGAAAATGATTTCCTATTGACCAGCAGATGGCTGAGCAGTTACATTGCTGGACTCCCACATGGCTAACCATGGTTCAAGTCCCAGACCTGGTGACTTGAAAAATCACACCAGGTGTGTTTACATGTGTGCCCAAGATCCTGGGAGTAAGGAGGAGAGGAGATTGAAGTGTGGCCATTTCTTCTTGGGGGATTTCTCACTTTCCCTCTCACTGTGTCCGCCTGCCCAGGGCAAGCACACACACCCTAAGGCAAAGACGTCTTTTAAAAAAATTAGAAATATAGGCAAACACATTTCATTTCATTCTTTTGGACTTAGAGTAAGAGTGGTGGGACCAGCAGTTAGCGAATGGCTATGTCGCTGGACTCCCATGCAGTCGACCATGGTTCATGTCCTGGACCCGGTGGCTTAAAACTCACGCCGGTTGTGTGTGCGTGCGTGAGGAGAATGGAGGAGAAGGGATTGCGGCGTGGCCATGCCCCTGGGGGGTGATTTCTCGCTTTCTGTCTCTCTCTCTCTGTCTGGCGAGCGCACGCGCCCTATAACAAAAACCTCTTTAAAAAAAAAAAAAGTGGTTTTATTTAAAAAGTTTCAGAAACCCTTAATGTTGTACCTTTCCCTGGTCTAATTATTTACTGTCCTACTAAGTTATTATATCAGCCTATTGGTTTTTGAAGAATAACACTTATTGGGCCAGCCTGTGGGCCTGGTTGTGGTTATGTGAGCTGGATCCCACATGGTTAACCCTGTGATTCAGTCCAGATGGAAAAATATACCAGGCATATGTGCAAGCATACCCAAAATCCTGAAAGGAGGGAGAAGTGCAGGAGAAGGGATTTCAAAGTGATGGGTGTTCAACTGGGCAGTGGGGGCTCTCTCTCTCTCTCTTGCTATCTGGCAAGCACACATGCCCCCTGGCCAATTTTTAAAATTTTCCCATACGAATAATGCTTCTCATTCCACTTCAGTTACATTTTATAAAATCTTCAGCACAGAGAAAGGCAAATTATTAATCAAGAAAAACAGTTAAGACTAAATTAAGAAAAAAGAAAAAATAACATCAGTCAACTAAGACCTAAGGGAAAAAAACACAAAAGGAAAGATCTCTCAAAAATCTAGGTCCTGGTGGGAAAAAAAGCACAAAAATGAAACAAGGTGATCCTACAGGGATTTTTCTGTTTATATACAATCATTCAATATTATCTCTATTTCTCAAAATCCATGGGTAGGTTGTAAAAATAAATTCAGTGTGCCACAATCAGAATTATTCCTTAAAGCAAAATAGACTAGAAATTATAGACTGAATTAACATAAAGTAAATTTCTTTTCACGTTTTATTTCAGTCATGTATGAATTTGTGGGAGCTGGTCTATAATATCAAATATATTTTACATAGTGGATGCAACTAAAGATATTTGAGGAACAGTGACAATGCTGCATTATAATTTAATATCTTAAAATATATTGGTTCACATAGAAGAGAGACAGTATGGTTGGCATCAAATATATTCACAAATAGTTGTATAATCTGATTCACAGCATTATATTGCTATACATTCCATTACCCTCCTAAACATATACTGCCACACCCCAACATCATCTCTTAAACTAGAAATAACAGGTCAGAAATCACCATTTGTGGGGTGGATAGGTGGCGGGTTAAAGGCACTGGATTTACACATGGCTGGCCACAGTTCAAGTCCTGGACTTCGTGGTCTGCTTTCTTATTCTCTCTCACTCACTCTGTCACTCTCTCTGGTCAAATTGAAAAATAATGATAATAAATAAATAAATCTTAAAGAAAAAAAAGAAATCACCTTTTGTTAAATCACTGGTTATAATCTAAATTGTTTGGAATCTTAGACATTAGTATATTCTGGACGTTTCTTCCTTGGGCCCTAAGATTCTCAAATTCAAAGAATTTTTGTTTTGTTTTTGAGAGGTTTCTGCTATAGGGCACTTGTGCTCGCCAGAAAGACAAAAACTGAGAAATCACACCCCAGGGGGGATGGTCACACTGCAATCCCTTCTCCTCTTGGGATCTTGGGCAAGCACGCACACGTGCCCTGCGTGAGTTTAAGCCACCGGGTCCGGGACTCGAACTGCAGTTGAATACATGGGAGTACAGCAACACAGGCATTGGGCCAACTGCTGGTCCCTCAAATTCAAATAATTTTTAAAAAATAATTATTTACTGGGGGTCAGTAGATGGCGCAGCAGTTATGTCACTGGACTCTCATATGGCCAACCAGAGTTTGAGTCCCAGACCCAGTGGCTTGAAAATCATGCTGGGAGTTTGTATGTGTATGCCTAAAATCCTAGAGGAGAATGGAGAAGGAATTGCAGCATGGCCAACTTTCCTGGGGGGTGATTTCTTGCTTTCTATTTTTTTCTTTTTTTGGAGAGGCTTTTGCTTTAGGGCATGTGTGCTCACCAGACAGACAGAGAGAGACAGAGAGATAGAAGGCGAGAAATCACACCCCCAGGGCGTGGGCCACGCCACAATCCCTTCTCCATTCTCCTCTTGGGATCTTGGGCGCACACACATCCGGTGTGAGTTTTTAGGCCACCACGTTCAACTACATGGGAGTCCAGCGACATAGCCATTACGCTAACTGCTTGTCCCATGATTTCTTACTTTCCCTCTCACTGTCTCTTCTCTCTCTCTCTCTCCAGCGAGCATACGTTGCTCTAAGACAAAAACCTCTTAAAAAAAAAAAAAGAATTATGTATTTAACTTTATTTACCATTATTAGTATTTTACTTTGCTACAAAGCAGATGTGTTCACCAAAGAGAGACAGGAAAAGTAAGAAAACAAGCCACCAGATCCAGGACTCGAACTATGCTCAGCCATGTGGCAGTCCAGCACCTTGACCACCATGCCACCTATTGGCCCCTCAATTAAAAATATTACAGATTGGGTTGGCAATATGTGTTTTCAGCTTAGAAGTCCGGTAATAATTGCTTAACTCTGCCAATGTAACATAAGAGTAGCCAGAGACGATGTGGAATGACTATCTCCTCCACCAGCACGCTGACTTTTTCTCTAAGATGTCACATAGCAAGCACACAGTTCCCTACGTGTTAAGATAAAATGCACTAAACATAATTTGAAATTATTCTAAACCAAAGCCATTTGGCATGTTGTACTGTGTTTACACTAAAGTGTATTTGACCCTATACACTAAATGGCTCTAGGTTCTGATTCTCATTCACTTCTCAGGGGGCAATAAAACCAGTTCCAAGACTTTTCCAAGCTCCTGTATATGCTGTTTCAGTAAGCCTATCAAAGGACCCAGGTGATCACTTAAAAACTGATAAATACACATTCTTAGAAAGGATTAAAAACTCTACCCACTGTTTTAGTTATGGAGGTCCCCTCCTGTTTACAGGTATTCAGGCTATGAGCCATCATCTTTTGCTGTTAATGGTGTACCTGATTTTAGAAGATCTTCCTCTTCTATTTCCGTATCTTAGAAAATGGCAAAGAAATGTGGTAACTATCTTTCTTAGAATAGAATGTTACTATGATAGTTTCAAACATTTTTACAAGTGGAACATATGATTTCGATGGGCAAGCTTTTGCAATATCTTAGTTTTTCCTCTTTATTAGTTTTTAGCTGTTACCTAGATGAGTAGTTCTCAAGTTTTAGAATGCATACCAACCCCAGAAGGGAAATGCTGGTTGTGTTAACTCCTGATGCTGCCAAGCTGTAGTCCACACACATCGGATAGAAACAGGGTTCAAGGGACCAGCAGATAGCATAATAGTTACGTCGCGGGATTCCCACATAGCCAAACATGGTTCAAGTCCCAGACCTGGTGGCTTAAACCTCATGCCGGGCACGTGCACATGCATACCAAAATCCTGAAAGGAGAATGGAGGAAAAGGGATTGCAGTGTGGTCATCCCTCCTGGGGAAGGGTGATTTCTCTGTTTCTGTCTCTCTCAGTCTCTCCGGTGAGTGTACGAGTCCTACAGCCAAAATCTCTATTAAATAAACAAAAAATCAAACTCTTATATAAGAAACAGGGTTCAAATCCAACAGTTATTATAATAATCCACAAAAATAATGTTTACCTCTTTTTCTTTTCTGAGGAAACTGTCCTTCAATTAACTTCAGAGTTGTTGGGGAGTCCAAGCCATTGTCTGCTACAGGAGCAGTTTTCTTGGAAAAGGGGCGGCACAAGTTTACCCTTTTACTCTGCACAATGGGTGGCATGCTGGCCTTTCTCTTAGGCTGTACTCTCAGATTTGATGCTGGACTCAGTGGAACCACAGCCCTCTTCCTTACTTTCAACATTTCCTTAGAATTATTTTCTGTTTCAGTGTTTTTTCTTACTCCTACTTCTGAGTCAAGAAATTCAGGTTCTGGAGTTGTAACTAAAGAAAATCCAGCATCACAAATTCCATGTGAAATACAGGAAGACTGAGGATGCTGTGCTAACAAATCCAAAGCAGTTGATACTTCCAAAATGTATCCACTAGGATTTGAAAAATAAGACTTCAATTGAGTTAAAGATTCTAAAGGACACTTTTCAGCTGGAGGAAACATGTCAAAGCCACTGGACAATTTCCCAAAAAATGAAGTCTCTTTAATTTCATCCTGAGATGTAGCAGCCAACAAAGGACTTCTGTCCACCTTGTACAGTTCTTGAAAACTCTGCTTTACTAATGTGTTTGGACAGGATCCATCTTCAGAAAGTAGTTTCTTTGCTTCTACCAGAGCACCATTAAGAGCAGGTAAAATAGGTATCACCTTCAATGAGATATCATCTTCGCCCTTTGAATCTTTCACTCCTAAAAGCAAAAAACAAATATGTCTATGTGTATGTGTATGTAAATACATATATATTTACACACACGTCATTTTGTTTTTTTAAAACATGAAGGAAAAAATGCTCTAGATTTCGAAATTATAGGATGATGAAAGATGTTACAATGTTTCAGACAGCAAAAACCTAAACAGCAATTAACAGAAAATTTACTTAAGAATGAATACCTTTCACAAATATAGATCTGCATATGTCAAATTACACACACATATGAAAAGTTTATTTCACACAAATGGCTGGTTAGAAAAAGTAAGCTACATCCTGCTTCCCGTTCCATCTCACTTAAGAGCTTAGAGCTCAGTTGTCCTGCATAGAAGTAGCACCGATATCTACTTTGCAATTATTTTCTGCTTTAAAAATAGATCTTATTTTGTCTATAATTTATATAACTAATTTCAAATTCTTTTTTTAAACATCTATTAATTTCTTCTGTGTGTGTGAGAGAAGAGACAAAAAGAGAAAGAGGCACCCTCAACAGGGTCCTTATGCCACATTCCAGCCCCAGTCAGCCCAGATGATGGGAAAGGGCACACATTCTGGCATGCAAGGGAGACCAAGGACAGGACCCTGGGACTTCCCATGTGGATTCTGTTGTGATATGGCTGTACCACTGCCTAGTCCTCTCACTCATAATTTGTTTTACAAGTTACAATGCAAATAAGAAAACTGAGAAAAAGTAAAAGCTGTAAATAACCCCCAAATCTCACTGGAAGGACACGTTTTCTAACAAACTAAAAATTGTTTCAAAAAACTTTAAAAATTAAGTAACTAAACTGCATGGTCTGTGGTTTCACTTCCTCTCCTTGACTCATTCTTTTGCTGCAATGCTAATTTCCAGCAAATTAATCACTAAAAAACAAAACACAAACAAAAACAGTGTGAGGAGAAAAAAGGTCAAGTCCCTATGAACTAGGTAATAAAATCCTAGAAAATTTTAGAGTTATCAATACTGTACTTTTAATTTTTTAAAAAGAATTATCTACTTTTTTGATTCATTATCATTATTTTTTAATTTGACCAGAGAGAGTGAGCGCACGTGCGCAAGCGTGAGAAAGCAAGCCACCGGGTCCAGGACTTAAACCACGGTCAGCCATGTTGAAATCCAGTGCTTCAACCACCACACCATCTTCTGGCCCTGGTTATCAATAATATAAAACCACAGATAACGATGACCTCCAGTACCTAATAAATGGAAATAGGAAATATACCACACTTAAAACACAGTAACTGCAGAATTAAGAAAGGCCAAGTTAGTCTTAGTTAAATATACTAGCATTATAGCAAGTGTTAAAAAAAAGGGATGGATATAAATCAACAATAAAATGTAGGTACATATAAGACACTTTTAGAATAACAAGTGAAGGAAAAATGAAATATAAAAAAGTTTTTATCTAGTATTAAGTATATAGTTCACAATAGTGTTTTCTAGGTAACTTCATTATTCCAAGAAACCTAGATAGGCAGAACCCAGTATGATCTGTACCAGACTATAATAAAATCTTTGAAGAACTGGGAACCAGCGGGTGGCATGATGGTAAAGGCGCTGGACACTTCCACATGGCCGACCAAGGTTCAAGTCATGGACCTGGTGGCTTGCTTTCCCACTTTCTCTCTCTTATGTCTCTCTCTCTTGTCAAATTAAAATAAATAAATGAATAAATAAAATCTATGAATAACTAAAATTGGCTAAGCAAAGTACTGCTCATTTAAAACAAACAGCAAGAACTAGCCTCAATGTTGCAGTTGGTGGCTCACTACTCTGTAGTGCTGGAGACCACATGGCTGATAGTAGATTCACATCCCAAGATGACATGAAACTTACCAGACCCATGCATGTACCCAAGATTCTAATGGAAAAGAGAGCTGGGAGAAGGGAAAGGATCACAGCATGATGAAACCTTGTCAAGGGTGCCTGTGTCTCTGTCCTAAAAAAGGTAATTTTTTTTTTTTTTTTTTTTTTTTAAGAAATATCAAAAGTAACGTGATCCCATGGCCTGGTGGTTAAGGGAGCTCATGGCTGACCACCATTTACATCCTGGCCCCAATGGCTTGAGAAATGCTAGGCGCATATACCACCTAAATCCCAAAGGAACACAGAAATTGAAGAGATTGCAGCATGACCATACTCTGTAGGGTGATTTACCCCCTTTCTTTGGTGAGTGCACATGCCCTCTGACAATTAAAAATATCCCCTGCCCCCCCCCAAATAAAAGTGCATGCATAGAAACACACACACACACCTCAAATAATTAAAGCTCTGATCTCTCAATCACTACAAATAAAAATGTTTCAATGAACCTGAAAAGTATGTGAAAAGTATCCCACAGCACTCCAATATTGATTCACATAGAAATCCTGTGCTGTTCAACACAAAATGGGTACAGGTCATAAGTTCTTATCTTACAATTAAAATGTAAGATCAATGGGGCCAGCAGGTGACGTAGTGGTTGAGGGGCTGGACTCCCACATGGCTATGGCTCCAGCCTGGGACCCAGTGGCTTGAAACTAACACTGGGCATGTGCACAAGAGTGCCCAAAATCCCAAGAGGAGAATGGAGAAGGGACTGTAGTGTGGCCATATACCTGGGTAGTTGGGGGTAATTTCTTGCTTTCTGTTTCTCTCTGTGTCTCTGGGGAGTACATCGACCCTATAGCAAAATCCCTCTTTAAAAAGCTGAAACAAACAAAAAAGATCAAGGGCCAGATCCACAGCATGACAGTTAAGCATGGTACATCTGGGCTAGATTCCACATGGCCTACTGTGCTTCAAATCTTAGCCATAGCAACATTAGAAACACTGACAGGACGAAGAAAATCCTGACAGTACAGAGAAATGGAGGAAAAAAGATTGTGTAATGACCCCACCCCATTGGGAGTGCTTTCCCTCACACACCCCCAACCCCATCTTTAATGAGCATGACTACCCTCTGGCAATGTAAAGAAAGAAAAGAGAGGAAAAGAAAGAAAGCAAGACAGAAAAAAAAGCTGAGGATGAAATCAGAGATCTTACAGAGGAAGGCAGTATGGTACTATAGTTGGGTGCCAGCTCTAGAGTAAGTTGCTTGATTAGGGCACATTTAAACCTCAGTATCTGACATAATAAATGCTTTAAAAACAGGAACACCTTGGGACCAGCAGTTGGTAATGGTTATGTTACTTGACTCCCATGTAGTTGGCTGCAGTTCGAGTCTTTGACCTGACGGCTTAAAACTCATGCTAGGCCCATGTGTGTGTGAGCCCAAAATCCTGAGAGAACAGAAAAGGGATTACAGCATGGCTAGACCCCTGGGAGGTAATTTCCTGCCTTCTGTCTCACCGAAAAGAGAACATGCACTATGGCAAAAAAAAAATCTCTCTTAAAAAACCAAAAAACAGAATACCTGTACTATTATATTATTTTTACGTGTAAGGTTTGCTTTGTTCCAAAGATGGGATACGCAGGTAAGTGAAGCTCTGCTTTGAGTAACTGAATATAATTTTTTAAAAATCAAGTTTTAAAATACTTTTGTATTGGTTATAGCTTTACAAATACTGTGGGTCCAGAAGTTGGTGCAATGGTAATGCAACTAGACCCACTTGAAAAAGTCCCTGATTCATGTCTCACGACCTCGCTGATATAGGCCGGGGGCGTGCACATGAACCCAGGCTGGCTGAAGCTGGGAGTGGATCATGGTGTGAAGATCCTGTTAAGAGTGTCTCTTTTGACTCTTTCTCTGAAGGAAAAAATAACTGAATAAACTTTATAAAAATTATACACAGTTTTCTGTTTAACACAGAACGTTATTATAAAATAATGAGAATTTAGGGATCAGCAGATGGTGTAATGGCTACATCGCTGGACTCCCATGTAGTTGACCGCAGTGTGAGTCCCAGACTGGTGGCTTAAACTTAAGACAGGCGCGTATGTGTATGTGCCCAAGATCCTGAGAGGAGAATGGAGAACAGACTGCAGTGTAGCCCTCCCTCCTGGGGCATGATTTCTTGCTTTCTGTCTCGATGTCTGTCTGTGTGGCAAGCACACCCGCCCTATAGCAAAAACCTCTCCAAAAAAATAATAATAATAATAAAATAATGAGAATTTACATGACAAAAGAAACAACTCACTTTTATTATTTTGTTTCAGCAAACATTTGTTATATTTTAGGTATCTGGCATTAATAGCAACTAGGGACACAGTGAAATACAAGAATGGTAGGCACTTAATAACTGTACGAGCAAATATTGTAATAGTATTAATAATAAGGCTAGAAGTACTAGTTAAGGGAAGAGTGGTGATAGAAATCAAGAAAGAAATATTTAAACTGGAATTTAACAAAGACAAGAAAGAATAAGCTAGATCAGTGTTTCTTAACTTTTGTTTTTAGATTTTTGTCATAGGGCATGTACACTGACTGGAGAAAGAGACAAAGAGAGGGAAAGGGAGAAATTAATTCCTAGATGGGGATGCCCATGTCACAATTCCTTCTCCTCTATTCTCCTTTGGGATTTTGGGCACGCATTTGTGGGTGCCTACTGGTTTTTTCAAGCTGCGAGAACTGGGAGTCAAATTGCACAGACAGCCATGTAGGATCCAGAGAGCATTAACCACCACATCATCTGCAGGCACATTTTTTAAAACTTTTTATTCAGTATCTGGCTCCTCAGAGCCTTATTAGACATATTTAATGTTAATGTCATAGTTGAATTACATATCTGTTTATGTATCATAAGAGTAATATTTGCCCATGGGGCTGGCAAATGGCATAGTAGTTAAGAGCGCTGGATTCCCACATGGCCAACTGTGGTTCAAGTCCCGGACCTGGTGGCTTGTTTGCTCTCTTTCTCCCTCTCTCCTTCTGTCTCTCACTCTGTCCCTCTCTGGTCAAATTAAAACAATTATTAAAAAAAAAGTACTATTTGCCCCAAAAGCCAAGTTTTGGTCCTGTGGGAGATGGGAGGGGAGTTACCATCACCACGACAATGCATGAGCCAAATAAGATCAATAATCCAGACTGGGGACACAGCATCTATGAAGATCCTGAGTCATATCTACTACAAAGACTATGGGCAAAAGGATCTTCAAGCTATTGTCCGATAAACTGTTTCACACACAAAATTTGAAGCTCTTTTGATATATCTCATGGGAATGTCGGTAGATAGTTGGAGACATAGTTTAAGCTCAGAGGAAAACAGAACTACAAAGGAGGTCAAGGAGCACCAACCAGGGAGGTTAGAAGAAGACAGTTATTTAAGAGGGAAAAAACAGTTAACTGAAATGTGCTACTGAAAGATCAAGTCAGAGGAGGACTGAAATATGTCCAACAGACTGACAGAACTGGAAGTCATAGTATCCTCTCACCTTTTGACGGGGATGAATGGAATAAATGTAACCCATGCAGACTCATCTGTTCATCTCCAACATCTATACAGAATGAGAATCAGGGGAGAATCGTTAAGCTACTGATCTTACAAAAGTTAACATACTAAAAACTATTTTTCTTTAATAAGTTGTCCTTACCTGGTTCTGATATTAAGGCTGATGATGTAAGCAAAATGAAAAACTCCTGATCTTCTAAATGTCTGATGATTGCCTTAAACAAAAAAGAATACATATGAAAAGAAAGATTCTTCAAACCCTCTCTCCTTCCTCTACAAACTTTTCAGTGAATTCTGATCTTGGGGAGGGGGTGTTAAAATGCTAATATTTATGGAAATTAGGGAACTCTGTCCCTAGCATCAGAAAATCTAAGTTCCTCAGCTCTGATAATCTTGGTACTATTTGGGCTACATAAAATTAACTACTGATAGAACACCAAGGGCTGGTTGTATAACAGTGTTCAAGTAGGTAACAAATCAATCAGAAAAGTCTAACTCCATTTTTTCCCCCTGAGATAGCTGACATTTCACTGCTACCTAAACAGCCAGTATGTAACCACACAGCCATTACAAATTCAAAATGAGTAAGACTGATAAGCAGTGTCTTAAGCTTATGTTTCATTACATGAAAGAATCCTAGAACTGGAAAGACTGAAAAATACCTTCAGTAAAGAATCCTATCCAGGGGGCCAGCAAGTGAAATGGTGACTGAGGGCACCGGAGTCCCACATGGCCGATCACGGTTTTGAGTCCTGGATCTAGCAGCTTGCTTTCTCTCTCTCTCTCTCTTTCTAAAAAAAATTTAAATACACATATACACACATACACACATAAAAATAAAATAATTCTTAAAAAAAAATAAGTCCTATCTATAGCATCCTAAGAGATGGAAAATAATAGAAAATAATTAGGTCTCATTGCAGCAAGAAATATGGATGAAAATAAATTCTTCCTTTCCTTTTTCTCTCCACCAGAATCTTCAGTGGAATACTGATCTAGAGAAAAAAATGATTTTGAAATTTTAATTTGTCTAGTAACTTAGGGAACAATTCTCCCAGAATCTTGGGCAAGCATGTAAACATATCCAGTGTCAATTTCAAGCCACAGGACTCGAACCATGGTTGGCAATGTGGAAGTCTGCAGATGTAATTGCTATGGCATCTATTGGCCCCACAAGTCAAAAGTTATTTTTTAATATTACGAGAGATTTTTGCTATAGGGTGCTCACTGAAGAGACAGAGATAGACAGAAAGCAAGAAGTCACTCCGCATGGGGGATGACCATGCTGCAATCCCTTTTCCTCCGTTCTCCTCTCAGGATCTTAGACACACACGTACATGCACCAGGCATGAGGTTTAAGCCAGCACAGCTGGTCTGGGACTCGAACTGCAGCCGACTACGGAAGAGTCCAGGGACGTAACCATTATGCAATACGCTGATCCCCAGTCAAAGTATCGAAACTTGACACTATTACTAAGACAGGTTACCTTCATAGGTTATAGATGAAAATGATATTAAAATATATGTATATACAATTACATATTAAAATTTATGTAACTATATTTATAAATATGTTTACATATTATATATTGCTATAAATGTCTTACTTAAACTGATTTCTTACTACAAACTATAGTATTATTATTTTTACAAAGGCTCAGACTTGTTTTGTCACTGTTCAGCATTTGTGTAATTTCCTCTGTAATGGTAAGGAATTATTCATTTTAAAATCAGGATGAGACTGGTTCAGACATCTGTTTTATGTCGAGGATTCCTGGTTAACATAATGAAGAGAATTCCTTGGATCTATATATATTTTTCAGTATCTTACTGAAAAAAATGGAAGCAGCAACTTTTACAAATTTATGATTAATGGCTTTTAAAGAACTATTTCACAAGTGGTCTTTTAATTAAGGCAAAAACAAAAATCTACTCAAAATTTTTAATCAAACACAAAAACAATTACAATGGCTTTGAGAAAACTGTCCTATTTTTCTGACAGTTAGGAGTATAAACTGACTAGTGAGATATAAAATATGAGATATAAAGGGGATAAAGGTGTTAGTCAACAAATGTTACACAATTAAAATCCTTAGCAAGCTAAAAGAATCTAATCTGGGCATAGTCAACACTTAGATGTTCATATCTCAATTTAAGAAAATGTGATAATTATATTTCAAATTAATGATTCTTACCAATTGCTTATTTTTAATGTATTCTGTTAGTTTATCTATCTTTTTCCCTTGTCTATTTGACAGTTCCACCTCATACAAATTGAAGCATAAATCTTGGTACAAGACTGTAGAGAAAATCAGGAAAACAGAACATTTCTTATTTTTAGTATGTCACTATGTTTTTATAAATCAATTTATTCTATGTTATACAAATAATAGAAATAAAACTACTCAAAAGTTTTTATCATTTAATCTTCTTGATTATAAAACTGCTTAATAAAAAGTTACCAAAATAATTATTTTAAAACAATAGTCTCATTCACACTGATACCAATACAGGATTAATAAGACAAATATTATATAAGTATCAATGTTCCATGAATTATATGACCAAGAAATTTCCTTCTCTTATTTTTTCTCTCATTTGAGTTTAAAAGTACACAAATAAATAAAAGCAACAACAAAAACACTGTTCTCTTTCAGACAAAGTTATGAGTTTTCAACTATTTTTACTCTGTTTCGTTCAGCATTCTATATTAAAGCTAGTCTTAGTCATCTTACATGAAACTACCTTTCAGAGTTTTTAGTTGGTCTCTAAAGAACTGAAGAATGTAACACCTCTAGACCTTTTTAAGAATCATTTAAGATAAAATGTGTGTTTGGAAAATAACTGGAACAAAACCAGGACACATAACATGCCACTGCACTTCGACAGACCTTTTTGCTCCAAATAATTCTGTTTCCTAAAGACAGCTTCTGGTAGTCTTCTTTTCAGAGATGACACTTCCATCACATACTTAAAATCAAGATCCTGTGGGCTATAAAAACAAAACAATATCAAGCAGTGTAATAAAGGTCGAAACTATAGCTTCATAATGTTTGGTTTTCTAAGATCAATGCAAACAAAAATATCAACCATAAAAAAGTCCTTAAGTCAATAAAGTCCAGGTTAAATAATGCGTGTTTTTAAGTAGTACAGATTATCAAATATATGATCCATAAACCATGCCTGCAAATATAAATACATTTATTTTTTGCATAGCCAAAATAACCATGTGGCAAATTACGTACTTGGAATTGAGAGTTCTTAAAAATTATGCTGTGTGGGACCAGGAGGTGGTGCGCTGGTTAAGGCACTGCCCTCTCACATGACTGAAGTCTGGACATGGTGGCTTGAAAATCACATTGGGCGCATGTGCATCTGTGCCCCCAAATCCCAGGAGACTGAAGAAGGGACTGTGGCCTGGCCATCTTCCCTGGAGGTGATGTCTCACTTTCCCTCACTGTCTCCCTGTGGCAAGCACATGTGCCCTAAAAACCTCAAAAAACAACTCTGTTATGTAAGAATTGAAAACTTTAGAGCAATATTAGACTGTCTGCCATGAGATGCCACTGAATGAACATGTATCTTTTATATCATGTCCCAACTACTTTTTTCCCTTTTTAAGACCTATTTTGAAATATATTCAAATCTGTAGAAAAGTTGCAAAAATATTAAGAATTCTTTTTATACCCTTCAGTCCAGATTATTAAATGTTAACAGTATGTCAGGTATGCTCTGTCATTCTATCTGTACAAACACATTTTTTCCTGAGCCTTTTGAGAGTAGGCTACAAGCCTGATACCTTTTTAACTCCAAATTCTTCTGTTTCTTAACCCCCAAAAATATCTTATATAACTACAAAGCAATTAGCAAAATCAAGAAATTAATAATATAGTATTATTACTTAATCTACACTTCATTTAAATTTTGCAGAGCATCTTACTAAGGTCCTTCATGGCAAAAGAAAACAAATTCCTGGGACCAGAAGATGGTTTAATGATTACGTCGCTAGACTCTCATAGTTGACCACAATTTGAGTCCTGGACTTGGTGGCTTAAAACTAACGACAGGTGATGTGTGTGCGTGTGTGCCCAAAAGAGGAGAATGGAGAAGAGATTGCAGAGTGGCCATCCCCCTGTGGGGTGATTTCTTTATCTCTGGTGAGCACATGGGCCCTATAGCAAAAATCTCTCTCTTAAAAAAAAAAGAAAGATCGATTAAAGGTCAGTCCCATGGCCTAGTGGTTAAGGGAGGCACATTCCACATAGCAGATGGCAGGATTCAAATACTAGCCCAGCAGCTTGAAAAATACACTCAGCCTATGCTTGAAGTTTCAACAGTATAAAGCAATGGAAGACAATGGACTGTGGAATGACCATAACCCACTGTGGAAGTGGCTTTCTCCCTCAGTCTCTGTCTCTCTGGCAAGTACATAAATCTTTCGGCAATTGAAAAAAAAATTTCCAATCTGGGATGACACAATGCACTTAGTTAATATTGTCCCTTTAGTCTCCATTTGGAATAGTCTTTTCATCTTTATCTTTAATAATCTTAATATTTGAAAACATAGCCTATTTTTTCCTTTTTTGCAGAATGCCCCCAATCATGGTAGGTCTGTTTCTTCCTGATTAGCTAAGCAGGAATACAGAGACAAAAGTGATACTATGTTATTCTTTGTCCACCATATTAAGAAGCATAGGACATCTACTCCACCAAGTTAATGGTGACATTAACCTAATCACTTATTTGAGATGGTCCCTTCAAATTTTCTTTACTGAAATGTGTATATTTTTTCCTTTGTGACTAATAAACAAGGTGTAGGAAAATGTTGTGACATATGTAAATATTATAATATTTTAATACTATTGTTTGCATCCACTGTCTAGTACAGTATTGTCAAATGGCATTCTAATTCTATTATCCTTTCTACATTTATTAATTTCACTCTACATAGAAAAAATATATTTTTCATTCTCTCCCATTTATTCACAGAACTATTATTTTATTTTTTAAACAATTATTTTATTTAACTTTATTTATTTATTTTTAATTTGACCAGAGAGGGACAGAGTGAGAGAAAGTGAAAAAGTAAGCCACAAAGTCTGGGACCCAAACTGCAGACAGCCACGTGGGAGTCCAGTGCCCTTAACCACACCACCTGTTGGCCCAGAACTATTTTTTTATTTTATTCCTGCCTCTTCTTAACAAAAGCCAATAAAAAGAAAATGAATTTTGGGGGCCAGCAGGTGGCATGGTGGTTAAGACGCTGGACTACCACATGGCTGACCGCAGGTCAAGTCCTAAACCTGGAGGCAGGCTTTCCTAGTTTCCCTTTTACTCTCTCTGGTCAAATCAAACAAATGATGATGATAGTAAATGAAAAAAGTAAATTAAAAAAAAAAAGAAATCTAATTTTGAAAGTACAACAGTTTTCAGATTTATTTAATATTTTTTAAAAGTTTGCTGGAGGGCAAATGTGTGTTTGAGAGAAAGCGAGCGAGAGAGAGACAGAAAGCAAGTCGGCAGGCTCAGGACTTGAATCATGGGCAGCCAGGTGGGAGGCCACTGCCTTAACCACTAAGCAACCTGCTGGACCCCCAGTGTTTCTGGATATACACTAAGAACAGGCTAAGCAAAGAGACCTTAAAAGATGTCTTTCATAGTTCTGTACAAGAAAATACTCATTACGGCAATTCATTATGATGTAAACTCATACAACATCCATTTAATACTTTTCTAAAAGAATCATGTGAAAATTAGAAAATCAGATAATGCGAGTCTTTTTTCTTAATAATTATTTTATTTAATTTTATTTATTTATTTTTAATTTTATTAGAGAGGGAGAGAAAGAGAGAAAGTAAGCTGCCAGGTCCAGGATTTGATCCACAGTCGGTCATATGGGAGTCCAGTGCCCTAACCACCATGCCACCTGCCTACTCCTGAAATTCAAATCTTTATTTAGTCACTAATAGTATTAAGTGGCTATAATCTATTAAATTTGCTATTTTGGCAAAACAGATTTGTTTCTAGGGGGGAAGAAAATCATACCTCTAGTACTAAATAAATTGTTTTATACTAATAAGTAATTTTCCATCAGCAAATTACAATTTTGGTCTACTGTGTCAAAGCCTTGTGCTCTACTTATCCACCCAAACATGCCCTAATCTAAAACCAAGTACAACTACTATATTTCACACCAGTGCCACCAATCAAGGCCTCAAAATTGGAATTTTTTTTTAGCATAAAAAAAAAATTATGTATAAGCATCAGTAAAGGACACAAAATACTTACATTTGTGTTGGAATCACTGTACCGTTAGTAGACCGAAGAGTTATATCACAGAGCATACAGCCTTGAATAATTAATTTCCCTTTCCATGGAGAGATGAGAACTTTAAGAAATGAGTTAGATGGCCAGCCCCATAGAAGAGGGATAAAAGGAGAAAAAAAAAAGGGTAAGAAAGAAATTCAATACTTTATAAATGAAACATTTACCTAAAACAAACAAACAAAACAAACAGAACCAATAATTTCTTACCGTTTTCACGGAGTTCAAGTCTAGAAAAGAAAAAGAAAAAAAGGAAGTATTTACATAAGGGCAAAACAAACAAATGTAGAGAAAAAAAGTATGTATACAATGACTTACAGGCTTTTATGAGTTTGTTCTGCCATCTTTTTAGGTTCCATGTACTTAAAAGCTACGATTACGCACGGAGAGATCTGTCTAGGTCGTTCAGTAACAGTGTTGCCTGAAAGTTCATAGAGATAATACTGAAAGAATAAAAATGAGTATTATCACACTTGTATATGTACCACATTTATCCCAATCCCCAACAGCCTTAAAATTGACAACATTAGATTCGGAAATACAACTTGGGTATTATTTATTCATAGGTGACTATACCTGACTCAGTTCAAAGGCACGAAAATGACTTGTCTTGTGAGAGATCTTGTTAGCATTTACAGCTACATGGCAATCATAACCAGGAGACGGCCTTATATAGTTAGCTGTATAATTCTCAGATACACACTTTACTTTTCCCTAGGATAAAAACATTAAGATTAATCAGATTATCTGCAAATAGCAAAAATCGTTACTGTAGGGTTCATTTAGAAGTAGTCTAACAAGGATTTAAATGTGTTCCCACTAACAGTAAACTATAAAAAGAAAAGTGCTTCTTAGAAACACAGTTATCTTAAGGCCACAAAGCCCACCATCTTCTATGTTAGTCACTGAATCATCATTCCAATGAAATCTAGTATTTCAAGTAGTTTCCAAACTCAAGTGTCATCAGTTATAAATCACAGACCAAGATACTTTATTATGCTAAGGCCTGTAACTGAGCAAGAAGCAAATGTACAGTAAAGTGCTTAGCAGGCAGCAGCTATCAACAGTATTTCTCATTATAAATTTCTCTTCATAGAGGGTTACATGTCTTTCAAAAAAGCAAAAGTCAACTTTACCATATGATTTAAAGGGCTGTTTTAAATAAAGTAATTACGTAAGAAAATGTTCCCAACATAATATCCAAATTAAAAAGAATTTGCACATAACTGTACATAGTGTACTCATTTTATAGGCTAAGAAATCAATACATATCGCAAAAATAAAAATATACAAAATACATTATCAAATGCAACAAAGTAGAATGTGGAGTTCTAGGCAATGTTTATTTTTATAAGAATGTAATTACTATTAAAAATTTTGTTTTGTGGTTGTTAAAGTCCTATTTCTTCATTTACAGACCACCAATGGCAAAACTAAGAAGCCAAAGAATATAAATCCTTCTCAGTAAGCAATCATAACCTCTATCTCCTCCCCATCAAGCGTTTAATGACTCTGGGTGTGTTGCTTCTGTGAAATAAAATGAAGGCTGAGCATACAAGTAAACGCAAAATAGCAATCTCCAGCCAGATACAGCAGGATACAGTGGCAAGAAACCAAGATTGAGGTACAACCTAATGTAAGTAAAAACCAAATGCTTATTATCTGGTAGGCATACTTTCAATACAAATACAGCACTGGGAACCAGCAGTTAGAGTAATGGCTATGTCGCTGGACTGCCACGTAGTAGACCACAGTTTGCATACCAGACCCCGTGGCTTAAAACCCACGACAGGCACGTGTGCGTGCGTGCCCAAGATCCCGAGAGGAAATGGAGGAGAAGGGATTGCGGCGTGGCCATCGCCCCTGGGGGGTGATTTCTCGCTTTCTGTCTCTCTGTCTTTCTCTGTCTGATGAGCGCACATGCCCTATAGTGAAAAACCTCTCAAAAAAAAAAATCGTAAAAAATAAAATAAAATAAAAATACAGCACTGATCATATGGCAAAAGAATGAAAGATAAAGGATGGGAAAAGAGTGTATTTTAAAGCAGTGTAACTTTCCCTCTAGTCCTTGGGGAACAAAACTTTGGAATATAAAGAGTGCACTCTCTTAAAAAAAATTTTTTTAAAAATCAGTTGTACTGTGTTTAGAACCAAAGGTATTAGGGACCAGCAGCTAGTGTAATAGTTACGTTGTTGGACCACCACACAGTCGACCATGGTTCGAGTCCCAGACATGGTGGCTTAAAACTCATGCCAGGCACATGTGTCTGTATGTCAAATCCTGAGACGAGACTGGAGATGTGACTGCAGTGTGGCCATCCTCTTGCAGGATGACTTTTCACTTTCTGTCTCTGGTGAGCAGATGTACCCTACAGCAAAAATCTTTCTTAAAACAAACACACACACACACACACACACACACACAAAGAAATTGGAGTGAGCAGGTGGTGTGATAGTTAAGGTGCTGGACTTCAACAAGGTTGACTGTGGTTCGAATCCTGGACCTGATAGCTTGCTTTTTTACTTTCTCTCTGTGTGTCTATTTCTGGTCAAATTTAAATAAATTAAATAAGATAATTCTTATAAAAAAGAAAAAAAATTTAATAGAAGAGCTAAAATGAAAACAATAAAACCAAGTCACAGAAATGTACTCAAATAGCCCACAAAACTTTCTAAAGTTGATTTTCTTACTATTTAGGTAAAAATTATTGTCCAATTTCCTAAACTGTGCTATTTAAAACATCCAAGAATTTGTGAGACCTTCAGTTCTAGGTACCACATAAAGCTGTGTACAAGGTCTGATTTTTTAAAAAAATTGTTTTATCTAACTTTATTTACCTACCTATTTAATTTGACCAGAGAATGACAGAGCACGAGAGAGACAGAGAGAGAAATACAGAGAGAAAGTGAGAAAGCAAGCTGCCAGGTCTGGAACTCGAACCGCAGTCAGCCATGCGGGAGTCCAGCACCTTTAACTACCACACCACCTGCTGGCCCCAAGGTCTGACGTCTTAAATAAAGACTTCTTGTTTGGACAATTTGAACTAGACGATAAATGCTTTATCCTAAATTTATCATTTTGTAACTCTGATCATATCATGTTAGCAGCTACTTACTATTTTCTGGTCTTTTATAGAGAGAATTCTGCTTTAAAGTATGTTTGTGCTTGCCAAAGAGACAGAGAGACCAAAATACATTATCAAATGCAACAAAGTAGAATGTGGAGTTCTAGGCAATGTTTATTTTTATAAGAATGTAATTACTATTAAAAATTTTGTTTTGTGGTTGTTGAAGGCCTTTTATAAGAATGTAATTACTATTAAAAATTTTGTTTTGTGGTTGTTAAAGTCCTATTTCTTCATTTACAGACCACCAATGGCAAAACTAAGAAGCCAAAGAATATAAATCCTTCTCAGTAAGCAATCATAACCTCTATCTCCTCCCCATCAAGCGTTTAATGACTCTGGGTGTGTTGCTTCTGTGAAATAAAATGAAGGCTGAGCATACAAGTAAACGCAAAATAGCAATCTCCAGCCAGATACAGCAGGATACAGTGGCAAGAAACCAAGATTGAGGTACAACCTAATGTAAGTAAAAACCAAATGCTTATTATCTGGTAGGCATACTTTCAATACAAATACAGCAAGTTTGCATACCAGACCCCGTGGCTTAAAACCCACGACAGGCACGTGTGCGTGCGTGCCCAAGATCCCGAGAGGAAATGGAGGAGAAGGGATTGCGGCGTGGCCATCGCCCCTGGGGGGTGATTTCTCGCTTTCTGTCTCTCTGTCTTCCTCTGTCTGATGAGCGCACATGCCCTATAGTGAAAAACCTCTCAAAAAAAAAAAATCATAAAAAATAAAATAAAATAAAAATACAGCACTGATCATATGGCAAAAGAATGAAAGATAAAGGATGGGAAAAGAGTGTATTTTAAAGCAGTGTAACTTTCCCTCTAGTCCTTGGGGAACAAAACTTTGGAATATAAAGAGTGCACTCTCTTAAAAAAAATTTTTTTAAAAATCAGTTGTACTGTGTTTAGAACCAAAGGTATTAGGGACCAGCAGCTAGTGTAATAGTTACGTTGTTGGACCACCACACAGTCGACCATGGTTCGAGTCCCAGACATGGTGGCTTAAAACTCATGCCAGGCACATGTGTCTGTATGTCAAATCCTGAGACGAGACTGGAGATGTGACTGCAGTGTGGCCATCCTCTTGCAGGATGACTTTTCACTTTCTGTCTCTGGTGAGCAGATGTACCCTACAGCAAAAATCTTTCTTAAAACAAACACACACACACACACACACACACACACAAAGAAATTTGAGTGAGCAGGTGGTGTGATAGTTAAGGTGCTGGACTTCAACAAGGTTGACTGTGGTTCGAATCCTGGACCTGATAGCTTGCTTTTTTACTTTCTCTCTGTGTGTCTATTTCTGGTCAAATTTAAATAAATTAAATAAGATAATTCTTATAAAAAAGAAAAAAAATTTAATAGAAGAGCTAAAATGAAAACAATAAAACCAAGTCACAGAAATGTACTCAAATAGCCCACAAAACTTTCTAAAGTTGATTTTCTTACTATTTAGGTAAAAATTATTGTCCAATTTCCTAAACTGTGCTATTTAAAACATCCAAGAATTTGTGAGACCTTCAGTTCTAGGTACCACATAAAGCTGTGTACAAGGTCTGATTTTTTAAAAAAATTGTTTTATCTAACTTTATTTACCTACCTATTTAATTTGACCAGAGAATGACAGAGCACGAGAGAGACAGAGAGAGAAATACAGAGAGAAAGTGAGAAAGCAAGCTGCCAGGTCTGGAACTCGAACCGCAGTCAGCCATGCGGGAGTCCAGCACCTTTAACTACCACACCACCTGCTGGCCCCAAGGTCTGACGTCTTAAATAAAGACTTCTTGTTTGGACAATTTGAACTAGACGATAAATGCTTTATCCTAAATTTATCATTTTGTAACTCTGATCATATCATGTTAGCAGCTACTTACTATTTTCTGGTCTTTTATAGAGAGAATTCTGCTTTAAAGTATGTTTGTGCTTGCCAAAGAGACAGAGAGACAGAACTTAAGAAATCACCTCACAGGGCAGATGGCCATAAGGCAATCCCTTCTCCTCCATTCTCCTCTCAGGATTTTGGGCACACACACACAGGCACCCTGTGGGAGTTTTAAACCACTGGGTCCAGAACTCGAACAGCAGTAAGCCACATGGAAATCAATCTAGTGATGTAAACTATCACAGCATCTGCTGGTCCCATTATTTCATGTTGGCGCTGGGCCAGTCTCAGTAGCACAGGGATAACATGACACTCCAAAATGCTGAAGCCATATGGGAAAGTCCTAGGTTTACATCCAGAGTTCTCTACGCACAGCAGGTTTGTGTGCATGTACCTGTGATCCTAGCAGCTTGAGGCCGGGTATACACTAAGCATGAAGATCCTGTTGGGAACTTTCTCTCATGAAAGAAAGAAAGAAATAAGGCTCCGATGTGTGAGAGGAAGATGTTGCACTAAACACCTTTCCTTCTTATTACTTTGCAGTTAGAAAAAATGTTCATAAATGATGTTATTAAATGAACAAAAAACTTTGTTTTGAAATAGTTTTGTTCTTCCTGAATTTGGACATATAGGACCTAATGTTTAGCTAATAAGCTACAAAGATTATCACAGGCAGATGACCTTCATTTGTTAAAAATGATATAAAAGCACATCCAGGTTTTACCTTAATTAGATTAAAAATTACAACATAACCCGATTTCCCATGATACCATGGTCTTGGATGAAGATAGTCTGAGTATTTGGAAATGTATACACCTATAAAAGTATAAAATATAGATTAATTTACACTTTATAAAACCTATTTATACAGATACAATTCATACATAGAGCTACTTTTAACTGAGTAAGACTATAAAAAGGACAAATTTAAGTCCATTAGCAAAACCAGCTTTGATACTACTTATCTTCTAATAATCAGTACTGGTGATAGTACATTAAGAGTTAAGAATATATGTATCTATCTGACAACCAATTTTCTAGCTGGGTACAATCAGTGAAAAGGAATAAAAGCATCAAGTTCTTAGAAAAACCTAAATGTGCCTGTTTTTTCTCTGTAAATCATTTGGTTAATCATTCAGTTAAAAGATCTATAATAATCTTGGGACCAACAGTTGGTGTAATGGCTATGTCACTGGACTCCCACATAGTCGACGGCAGTTCAAGTCCTGGACCTGGTGGCCTAAATTCATGCTGGGCGTGTGTGCATGTGTGTGTGTGCCCACGATCCCAAAAGGAGGAGAATGGAGGAGGGATTGTGGCATGGCCATCTCCTGGGGGGCAACTCTCGCCTTCTCTCTGTCTTTCTGGTGAGTACACTCATCCTATAGCAAACACCTCTCAAAAACAACAACAACAAAAAAAACACGCACACACAAAAACAACCACCTATAACAATCTGACTCTCAAGTTGTTTTTTGTAAAAAATATTAGTAAGTGCTCTCCTTTAATAATACGTACAGAGAGTTCATCTGTAGCTACAGCATAGCCCAACATTCAGTAGGTACTTAAATATCCATCACACATATTTTGCATTTGAGGACACTCAGGAAAATATTATTAAATGTTATAAAGGGGTCTGTATAAAGAACTATAAGAACATATTAAGTCTATCTGGGTCAAGAATGAGTTCTTTACACAGAGAGGAGGAAAATCCTAACTAGAGAAGAGAATAAAGTATGGAAGTATAAAAGAGCACATTGCTTAGAAACAGGCAGCAGTGTTGGGAGCAAGAGAGAAAAGAGGTGAAAGGTGAGGCTGAAAGATGGAAACTTGATAGTAATAATCTTTGTATATAGTTTGAAAATGAGCTTAGTCTTTATTCTATAGGCAGTAGAGCACCATCAAAGGTTTTAAGCAGAAGACTGCCATCAAAGGAGAGTAGAAGCAAGAAGACCAATTAATAAACTAGTTGAGTTAGATAGAAGTGAAGGATTCTAACAAGGCAACAACACTGAAAACAAAGGACAGACTTCAAGGTGATTCCTCCATTAAGGCATTTCTTGAAATACAAAAGCAGTGAGTGAGAAGTTTGATTCAGCAGGTAAGAGCAATGAATTTTTCATAAGCTTGAGTTCCAGTTAAAAAGAAGTCACTCTAGGTGGGAAGGGTAGACTCAGGTCACAGGGTTCTCAAGAAGATTTAAAAAGATAAATCATTAAAACTAGAAAACATTGTATTAATAAAAGTATTACTATTAAATATAGAATTATTCAGTTCTATTTGAGTCAAAAACTATAAAATATATACAGGCAATAGTATTAGGCATTATCAATCTCAGTTATCTGTGTTTATGAAGAATGTGTATTTGTCAGGAACAGTTCAGTTTCTATTTTCTGTCAGTCTACTAAAGTCAGCTTCTCAAACAGTAATAAAATCATAGGATTATAGTAATGGAGGAAAAGTCCTTATTTTTTTGAGATGTTATCTGAAGTGGTTATTCGTAATTTACTCTCAAATCTTCAGGAAACAAAAATATGCCAAATAATGTAAAACATATCCCACTCAATTCAGGTATGGGTATATTATACTGTGTGAGTGTACCAACCAACACTATTTTTACACCCCTCCTCCGCTCTTACTCTAGATCCCAAAGTCATGCACTAGCTCTGGGCAGAAGTTTGAGCTGAGTTATTTTTATCTGAGGCAGTCATTCAGACCCTCCAACTAAGTAAGAAAAGGGTTCCAGTCACTGGCCTTAAAAAGGCTAGTGATCTTTGATCCTGGAGTAGTCATGACTTCTCAGCAGGTAACCTGCTCCCTTGCTTTGCCTTTAATAGTAGGGAGGCAGCTATAATTTTGACCATTTTAGCCCTGGAACATTCATTCACAAATTCCTCCCAGGGTTGTCCCTTTTTAAAAAGTGGCTTGCTGGGGGAGGGCAGCATAGCGCAGGGGGGGAAAATAGAGCCTGAAGTTGTGTGAATTTGAGAATAAGCCACTGCTGAGCCCCAACTCACATGTCTAAGTTAGTCTCTGATATTAAACTTTAATCAAGTCTTCTATAAAATAGCCTGTCTCAAAGCAGTCAGACATATACCATGCTCTCTTTTTCTTTATGTTTCAATATTTCATAATGAAGACAGTGGGAGCAGGGGGTGGGGGTGGGGGGTAAATAAATAGGTTTTCCCTACTGTTATTTGGGTTATAAATTACCTTTAATATCCTTTAGAACACGGGTGAAAAGTAAGTTTAAACATGTTTTTGTTTTACCATATGATCCAGAGACTATATTCCTAGTTAAATCTATCACCAAAGAGAAATAAAAAATTTCTCTATGTAAAAACTTGTACACAGGGGAACCAGCAGTTAGTGTAATGGCTATGTCGCTGGACTCCCATGTAGTCGACTGTGGTTCGCGTCCTGGACCCAGCAACTTAAAACTCACGCTGGGCGCTGTGCGTGCGTGCCCAAGATGCCGAGAGGAGAATGAAGGAGAAGGGATTGCAGCGTGACCATCCCCTCTAGGGAGTGATTTCTCGCTTTCTGTCTCTATGTCTCTTTCTGTCTGTCCAGCGAGTGCATGTGCCCTATAGCAGAAACCTCTCCCCCCCAAAAAAAAACAACAAAAAAAAAACTTGTATACAATGTCCACAGCAGCACTATTCGTATTCGTAAACAGCCAAAAAGTAAAAACCAAATGTCTATCAATTGATGAAGAAAACATATAAGCATAAAACACAATACTACTCAGTCATAAAAAGGAATAAAGTCCTAATTCCTGCCATAACATGTATAAATCTCAAAAACATTATCCTAAATTTGTCCCTCACAAAAGGTATATGCATGCCCAAAATCCCAAGGGGAAAACGGAGAAGAGATTTGTGGTGTGGTCATCTCCCCAGGGGAGGATTTCTCATTTTCCTTCTCTCTGTCTCTCTTCAGAAAGTGCACACACCCTATGGCAAAAACCTTAAGAAAAAAAATTTTACTGTGGTAATAATGATTACATAATTTTGAACACATTAAAAAAAATCCACTGTACCCTGTAAATGGATGAATTTTTAAAATTATTTATTTAATTTTATTTATTCATTCATTTTTTTTCTTAATTTGACCAGAACGAGACAGAGAGAGAGAGAAAGTGAGAAAGCAAGCCACCAGGTCTGGGATTCCAATCATGGTTGGCCCTGTGGGAGAGTCCAGGGCCTTAGCTACCACACCACCTGCTAGTCCCTAAATGGATGAATTTTATGGTAAGTGAATTATGCTATGATAAAGCATTAAAAAAAAAAAAGTCAGCA